GCAACGTGCGCCATTTCATCAGATTTGTAAGATAAATCATTTATAAATCTACGCAAACTCCGGAGAATACATCGCGGTTTCAAAATAAGTGCTCAAACCCTCACTCTGAGTTTACACGTTTTGATGTCCACATATTCATTTAATTACAGTGGCTATAGCACTTCTGTCCTAAAGAAATGGGTAAATTAAAGATTAAGTGGACATTTAAATGAAATGGTGCTTGGTCAATATTAAACAAGTATAAGATCGCACAGCAATGTGTAAAAACAATCATCAGGCTGTTGGTGCCCTCTGCAGGCCTTTGTTGTAATGCGTAATGTACATTAGCTCTATTGTTTATAATACTATTATATATATTTATAATACTAATATTATGTATTTTAACAATTTTGTTCAATACAACCGTATTATTTCTTGCTTTTAATCATTTATTTGAACTAATTATTATTGCCTCATTGCTATTATATATGTATTTTAAGTAATTTTAAAGACTATTGTTAACTTGCATCTATTTTTATTACCACAAAAAAATTTATTAAAATTATAAGGGCCCTATGAAATCCGTTTTATTTCCAAATTCAGTTTTTTTTCCCCCATTTTCATTTTTCTATACTCTGTTTTAATGGTTAAATTAAATTGTATTAATCAAAAAGCCTGTCTAATTAATTGAGTTTTACAGTTTTATCTTTACCAAATTCTGTTTTCCATTATTTTCTGGATTCCATTTTAATGGTTCCATTAAATTGTGATAGTCAAAAGCATCTCCAATTAATTGATTTTATAAAAATAAAATAAAAAGTTTTCTTCTTTTTTTTTCAGAAATACTGCACATTTACATTTTTCTCCTAAATAAATTCTGGTAAATAACATTTCTGGTAAATACTAAATATGTTTTTTTTAATTATAATTTTATTATTAGTAGACTAGAACACGTGGATATGTTGTCATTCTTACACCATAATACTGAACTTTGATTTACTGAACTTTGAATACTGACACTTGCTTCTTGCACTTTACTTTTGCTTAAAAAAAAAAAAAAGGATTTAATAGAAATTTGGATTTCATTTGGTTTAATAAAATATTCTTAAGTAAAATTGTTGATTTTTTTTGGTGGGAAATTAATCGTTTAGATGAATCAATAAATTAGTCGATAGATTAATCGAAATAAAAATAGTCGTTAGTCAGCCCTACTTTTAACTCCTATTAAACTGGAAATCATTAATAATTGTCATGATTCGAGGCTGTTATTGTCTCACCAAGTAGCTTTTTTACTAAGGCAGCTAAAGTTGTCTTTCATTGTTCTTTGAGCAATCATATAGATAAACTGGGATGTATAACACCTGACCTTTTCATGGTGGAATTTAAATACTAAAGACCCCCCTGCTGTTTGGGAATCACACGTGTCCAGTCTGTTGCAGGTTCAGCTCTACTGAGTGATGAGGCTTCTGGAAAGTACTGGTACTCGAGTCAAAATATTTGGACTAACTGTTTCTACACATTTTGACTCTACAAAGTCTGAGACTACTGTGGATTGTCTAAAAAATTTTTCCCATAAATTCCCGACCATTCCAGACCCCTCCTCCACATGGTATTCATCCTCTGCTGAATGCACTGCTGCTTCCCATCTCATTCCTGCTGATATGCCTTGTTATGCTGATGCATGTATTGGTACTGCCATTTTAAAGTCTATTGGGATGGCACATTCATATTGATGTGATATTGATGAACTCTTAGTTTGAGTCCTTTTTAGTTCTATAATGGTCTTCTGACTTTATTCTGAATTAGTTTTTGCTTAAATTTGCAAATCAGTGAACCAGCTGATTGAAGCTTTGGGTAAAGGTTTTGAAACATTTGTTTAGTAATTTTTATTTATATTTACTTATACTGCTTTTTAAAAGTTTGGGGTCAGTAGTATTACTTTAATTTATCAATGATGCATTGAATCGATCAAAATTGACAGTGGAGACATTTATGTATTTTAAATAGAATCTACAAAGAATGCGCATGCTTTCTACAAAAATATTAAGCAACTACTTTTTTTTTTTTTTTTTACATGGATAATAAGAAATGTTTCTTTAGCACCAAATCAGTATATTAGAATGATATCTGAAGGATCAAAATAGTTTTATTCACTACATTTTAAGTTTTAAACATGCCATTTACAGATCCTCATGTTTCTATGACTGACACTTTCATGTGAAGGTCTGCTGGTAGTGGTACCTCAGGGGAAACAGGTGGGTCTTTGTGTGTGTGTATGTGTGTTTGAGAGGCCACATTGAACTTTGACCCAAATCAGAGCTCTGTTTCTGGCTTGTTGGATTGCTGAGAAGTGTAGCTATATGTTAGTGTAAGAAAGGTTTTCATTTGGTTTTCTCTACAGTCAGACTGTTCACACTTTAAGTTGAAGTTCAAGTCAATGGGACACACTTCAGATTTTTAAAAGTAGGAGTACAGACTGGTTTTGCAATCCTACATATGTTTTTGTTTTCTCTGGGCACTGAAGTGAAACGTCTGGCTTTGTACAAGCAAAGAGTTTAGGTTCAGGTACATGAACTTTGTGGACCGTTAAAACACACGATCGCTCTGATACATCCATCTGCCTAACCTATGGGCATTCCCATCCTTTATTTAACTAACCCATTAAACTAATGTTTGATCTCTTCATCACGTCTCTCTCTCTCACTGTTTTAGGGAGAAATGGGGTAAAAGGCGAGTCTGGTGTGAGTGATGACGATTTGGCGTCGGAGGTTCTCAGTCACTACAGCAGCACCAGTGAGAGCGCATCAGTCATAGAGGAAGGCACAGGTACACAGACAATTTAAAAACATCATACATGCACAAACCTTATCACAAATATATATAGCATACAAGTACAAAAAAAACATCCACACACTGACTCTGTGCTATGCAGGTGAGGTTGTAGATGAACAAACTGCTCAGGAAGAAACAGAAGACAAACTGAAGCAATGCATCGACAATCTGATGGACAAAAGGTATCAATATGCTGACACGCAACAGTGAGCAATGCAAGCACACACAATTACTGAAAACTAAATGAGCGTTGCAGCTGTTTCACTCTTATCTTTGTGTTTTCCAGTGCTAAGACCCGTCTGGCTGCATTAGAAAGTCTGCGCTTGGGGTTTTCTTCCAGAGTCCTGTATGAATTTTTGTTAGAGCGACGTTTCACCATCAGTGACTGTCTGGAAAGGAGCTTGAAGAAAGGTGGGAATTAGGACTTAATTTTTGTTTTCACACATTTCAGGGACACTCTTTAGATTATTACAACTAAGGGCACAGAGACCGGTTTTGCAGTCCTTACATGTGTGTTTGTTTTCTTTGAGCACTGAAGTGAATCTTCTAGCTTTATTTATATATGTATATATGTATATGTATATGTATATATATATATATATATATATATATACGTACATGCATGCATGGGAGAACTTGCACAATTGGTGGCTGACTAAATACTTTTTTTCCCCACTGTATATATATATATATATATATATATACACACACATACAAGTATGTATATGTGTATATATATATTAGGGGTGTAATGATACACGTATTCGTATTGAACCGTTCGGTACGAGGTTTTCGGGTTCAGTACGCATTACAAATTAGTTTTTATCTAAAAACAAACTAGTCTGCGTGCTTTTACACTCTAAAGCTATCAGAAATGTATTATCTATAAAGGGTAAAAAATAAAACTTGATTGAGGGCAGTGAGCCGAAAGTAAATGTTGCATTATATCCAATTACTTTATATTGAAATGTATATAAAATTGATCATTTTTTAGTTTTCTTTTTTTTATTATAATATGAAAATTCAAGACTGTGGTTTCTCTTTCTTTGCTGGGTTTACTGACTTGATAAAGTGTCCTTCTCTTCAGGTGGAGGAGAGGAGCAGGCCGCTGCTGCTACAGTGTGCGCTCTCTTGTGCGTGCAGCTCGGGGGCGGAGTTGAAGGTGAGGAGGGCTTTAAGATGCTCCGCCCCATCCTCAGCTCCATTTTGATTGACAGCTGTGCCAGCCTGTCAGCTCGACAGAGTGTGAGTTAATGCCTCAATATATGTCTATAAACCTTTATTTGTTTGATTCCATTAACACTTAAAATGGGATTGTTTACTTATATCTTACCTTTTTTCAGTGCGCTCGAGCTCTGGGTATGTGCTGCTACGTGTCTGCCTCAGATGATGCAGAGGTATGATCAGATCTTGTAAAATGCATATGAATATTTATACATCTGCATGTTTGTAGAAGTCTTTTTCCTCCTGTCTTTTTCAGGACCTTCTAAAATCTATTGGTCATTTGGAGAGTGTGTTTGTGGGTGCATATCCCCTGGGTGATGGCACTCTGCCCTCTGTCAAAGCCGGGATCCCTGTGCTCCACAGCACTGCCCTTCAGTCTTGGGCTCTGCTCTGCACCCTTTGCCCTGCATCACGCATCAACACCATTCTGAACCAGTGAGTTTGAATTGAAAAAAAAACACATCTTTGCACAAATAGTCCATAGTCCAAATAGGCAAAAGGGTGTAAAAAATAATGGCCTGCACTCTGTAAAAGTGATAAATGTCAACGAAAAAGCAAATGCGAGATAAACAAAAATGTACTGAGAAATGGCAAACGTTTCAGCTACAATGCTTGTTTCGATTATGTTTGGACCCACAAATCTACCCATATTTCCTTGCTGAACATCATTAAAAAAAAGAAATTGAACAACAAAAAAACACACTTTTTTCTATGCTCTCACTATTTCTTATATCCCTCCTTGTTCTAGTTTGTACTATTATTATACTATAACTTTGTATTGCTAGCACCTCTCATGTTATTGCTTCCTTAAGATTTACCCATATTTCCTTGCTGAACATCATTAAAAAAAAGAAATTGAACAACAAAAAAACACACTTTTTTCTATGCTCTCACTATTTCTTATATCCCTCCTTGTTCTAGTTTGTACTATTATTATATTATACTATAACTTTGTATTGCTAGCACCTCTCATGTTATTGCTTCCTTAAGATGAATTGCCTTTTATATTCCTCATTTGTAAGCCACTTTGGATCAGTGTCTGCTAAATGAATAAATGTAAATATGACCTGCCCTTTAGTAATTAGGCTGTGAAGCTGTGGTTATTATTTCACATTTTCTTTTTTTCTTGTATTTTCACCTTTATAGTGTATGGGCCTTTTTGTTGTTACAAAGCCACAATCCAAAATGCTTTTGATATCTAAACCACAGTGAACGCCCAGATTGAATAGACTTATTTGTCTGTAATATGATCTATCTCTTTGTCTTTTAGCCACATGCCACGTCTACACGCATGTTTAGAAAGCAGTGAGGTGAACTTCAGGATTGCTGTGGGAGAGACCATCGCTCTGCTGTGTGAATTGGGACGGGACATCGATCAGGTGTGTGTTGTGTAATGCTGAATAGGTTTGAGTGTCAGGACGATGGCAGTGTACATAATGTGTGTGGTGTTTCAGGAATTTGAGTATGAGGACTGCGATGCATTGTGTGACAGTCTAAAGAACCTGGCAACTGATGGAAACAAACATCGTGCTAAAAATGACCGCAGGAAACAGCGCTCAATCTTCAGAGAGGTGCTGCACTACATTGAGGTGAAAGGAGAGCCACAACTCATGCCTTTTTGTTTTTAAATAACATGTCAGTTAATTACATCCAAATATTTTATAGCTAATAAACCGAGTTGATCCAGGACCGTCTTGGATGATTATGGTTTAAAAATGTACTGACATCGGAGCAAACATTCCCTCGTATTTTCAGAATGAAGATTTCACTGAGGAGAAGATCCAGTTTGGGATTGAGGCCATCTACATTGATGGCTGGATGCGCCGCAGGATTTATGATGCCTTTAAGGAAGTGCTCGAGTCTGGAGTCAGACACCACCTACAGGTGAGGAGGACCAATTGCAGCTCACCATTGGCATAACACTGTGTAGTACTCGAGAAAAATGTTGACTAAACATTGACTACTAGACTAAAAATAGCCTTTTGTGAGTTGTCACAGCGTGGAGGACGGAACAAAACCTTGTCGGAGCCGTAAGGGATAAAAAGGGGGCATTAATAGCTTGTGATTGGCCAGCTATCCAGTGCATTGTGATTGGCCGAATACCTCAAGTGCGAGACTGAAATGTTACGCCCCTCACCATACTATGATGATGTGTCCCGGCCGGAGCGACGAGACAAAAACATTCAAACCCATTACAAACGAGGCATTTGTTGCATCCAGTGGGGACATAATTACTGATTATAATGACTTATACTGTCTTTTTACGTGTTGCATTGCATCGCGGTGCGTAAACATAAAACTCTGTCTGCAGTTGTGATCAGAGAAATGACAAGCAACAAGTGCTACTCTACTGCCCAAAACTCGCGTTTGAATCATCAGTGGCAAATCCTTTAAATGAAAACATACTTACAGACTGCGAGTCAGAACTGCCGGCATTTTAGTCTAACGTTACTCTCCCAGGTGTGCTGCACACATCTGGATATTTGGGTTAAACTGTTCTGGAACAGTGTTGTAAATACCACTGATTTGTAGTCGTGTCCTCTTTTGGAAGACCAAACAAAGTAGTTTCGCTTTCACAATGAAAAACACAGTGGCCTAGCGTGAGGGGATGCCCCGGCTTAGCGTGCGCTGAGGCCGGGATAGAGTGAGCTGAGGCGGTGGGGTCGAGAACGGTGCGCCCGGCGGATCTGACTTATGAGCGGCAACCACATGTGACGACCCTGGGCTGAACTCTGCTTTGTCCACGGTGAAGGTTGATGTATTCCCTCAGCGACCAGCACAGATCAGCTCTAGGCATGAGGAAGCAGATATCGTCCTCTTTTGGAAGACCAAACAAAGTAGTTTCGCTTTTACAACGAAGCACACAGCGTCTTCACTACATGGCTGCAGCGTCAACAATACTACAGTGAGAATAAAAGTGATGCCTTCTTTCTTTGCGTGAACATTTGGGCGGCGTTATGCAAATCTTCCCACATAGTGATAGATATGTGGGGGGGGTGTTAGAATGAGCCGTTTTAGGTAGGTGTGGCTGACTCTGAACTTTTCTAAAGAATATCTCTTTGGATTTGAGACTTTAGTCTTTGCAACTTTACAGATCTTCTTTATGCACCAAGAGCTTGTAACACTCCAAAGAGAAAGGAAAAATTGAAATCGCATCATATGACCCCTTTAAAAAAATGTAGTTAATATTTGCATCATTTATGATTTATTTTATCCACCCGCAAATAATCAATATTTTTTTGTTTGGCGCCCGTGGATATAGGAAAAGCAAAATATGTTTGCAGCGTTTTCATTCTCTGCCAGCAGGAGGTGCTTTAGGGGCCGTTCACATATAGCGTCTTTTGCGCGCTCAGGTTTGTTATTTCAAATGTAGACGCGCGGCAGGCGTGCTCATAATGGAAGCAACACAGTTGCAACATGCTCATTTTTTCCAGGCACGTCCGCGGCACATCGAGATAAAAACATTTAAACTTTTCAGAATGCCGCAAGTGCACCACGGGTCATGTGACAAGAACCAACCAATCAGCTTCATCCTTTCCCGTAACAACATTGAAAGCTCAGCCGAGATGAAGGAACCGCTGATCATAGCTGTACAGGATAGACATTTTTAAATAAATTTAGTAGCAGAGCTACTGCAAGCGATTTTTAGTGCTGCAAATCCATTTATCCTTTGCTGAAACTTCCGCGTCTTCATGGAGAGCGCAGGTCATGGTTGCTTAGCAACGGCAGATGCCTCCGGAGCGCAAGCGCCCGAACGCTTTGGGGAAAAAAGCAGAAAGCACCGCACCTAGCATTTTCCACGCGTATTTAGGCGCGACATGTGAACAGCCCCTTAAACTGAGGTTTCCCCAGTAACAGCTGTACACAAAGCAGCGCTGAACTCACACACGCTGCTTTATCAGGCATATAACATGTAAGATGAAATGAAAATTACATCGAAAATTTTCTGAAGATAAGTCTTCCTTCAGAAATACAGTGATATAAAAACACTCGCTCCTCGTTTTGATTTTTAAACGGTAAACAGTACGTGCTCATGTTTATTCAACAAAGCCTTTTGGAAAATCCTTCAGTTTTGATAATGTGGCGAGCGCCATAAATAAATGTATGGGGAACACATTCCACAGCACAACCACCTGAGCCCAACTTCAGTCTACTCATCACCTTAACTTTAGCTGCGTTTGTAGCCGGTGTCATAGCCAGACTGATAAACAAACACAGACACAGGAAGTTAACTTATTCATACTGACAAATTTATTATATTATAAAATAGGGCATTCTAAGTCAATATACTGCAGTATTTCCTCTCTCAATCAGTAGAAAATATGGTTAACACCCAGTCATGCATGAAAAAAAAATACCGTCATGTACCGTGAAACCGGTATATTTTTGAAAAATATCGTGATATAAATTTGTGGTCATACAGCCCAGCACTAAACTGTACACAAATTCGTGATAGCCTCAGAGTCAATCCCCTTTAAATTTCATATGAAAACGGCGGCAGACTTCGTCTCCTCCCCGTCTTTCAGCGCACTCTTCAATCCGCTAACCGCGGCGGGACACAAGGTGTGTGTTTATCGACAGATTGTTATAATATCTATATCTCTGCAGTTCTTTGTCATAAATACAGTTTACAAAAGGTCACGAGGGAGCAATCGTTTTCCCATCTACTGTAAAGTTTTCGCTGCGTTCACCGTTCATCACACCACAGCTGTTTCCTCCAGCGAAAATCTAGCCCTTGACACATATGAATGCATACTTTATAAAACGATCATGTTGCTATTTTCGTTTGAAAATTTAATATAAAACATATTACAGTGCACGTGGCATACCATACAGTCATTCACAGAACTGATTAAAAACAGTGACAGACAGCACTCAGTCAATTCACTAGTTTTAACTAAATATCAGAGTGATTGACAGAGATACAGTAGAAACATTGTGTGGTTTTGTATTAAATATTGCTTTGCATTAAATAATGACCCAGATCGTGAAAAACATTTATTAGCCTTAGAGTAAGGGAAGCACAACTCAGGAAATGAGAGCATCCGAGGAGCATGTGAATGCTCTTTTTTTTAAAGTATCGTTTTAGGCACTGGTACCGTTTTAAAAGTATCAATTTGGCCCCGGTATCGTAAAAAACCCAATCGGTACCCAACCCTAACCATTTGTAGAATTGGTAGTTATTAGTACTTATTTTAATGCTTTTTTTTGGGCTTGTTTTATATCATTTATCATTTATATCAAGTCATCTTGAGGCTCCGGCCTCATGTTTGAGAACCACTGTTCTGCAGCGTTTGTTAATGAGTTTTTGTCTGTTTTTTGTAGTTTAATCCTTTGTTGAGAGATATTTTTGGACTTGGACCTCCTCTCATCCTGGATGCGTCTGTCAAAGCCAGCAGGATCTCCCGCACAGAGAGGGTAATCTTGAAACTTTCGCTTATATATGTAATAAATAACGAACAGTGACACTGACATGACGAGAAGTCTTATTTTGCAGCGTGAAGTCAGATTCAACTGATTTTGTAAACAGTGCTGATTTAATTTGCATTTTTTTGGCAGACAGTTTCATTCACTAAGATTTTGTGTGCATATTTATATAACTTTGGTTTGTCTCTTCACAGCATCTGTTTAACTCTGCTGCATTCAAAGCCCGGACTAAATTAAGGAACAAAGTGAGGGACAAACGTGCCGACGTGATGTGAGGATGAAGAGAAACACTACATCCTTAAAGGAACACTCCACTATTTTTGAAAATAGGCTCATTTTACAACTCCCCTAGAGTTAAACAGTTGAGTTTTACTGTTTTCGAATCAATTCAGCCAATCTCCAGGTCTGGCGGTAGCACTTTTAGCTGCAGCTTAGCATAGATCATTGAATCTGATTCGCTCAAAAATGATCAAAGAGTTTCTATATTTTTCCTATTTAAAACTTGACTCTTCTGTAGTTACATTGTGTACTAAGACCGACGGAAAATGAAAAGTTGCGATTTTCTAGGCCGATATGGCTAGGAACTATACTCTCATTCCGGTGTAATAAGCAAGGAACTTTGCTGCCGTACCATGGGTGCAGCAGGCACAATGATATTACGCAGTGCCTGAAAATTGGCTTATTGGAAGTTACCTAGCTGGGACTATTTTCAGGCGCTGCGTAATATCACGCTGTAACTACAGAAGAGTCAAGTTTTAAATAGGAAAAATATAAAAACACTTTGGTCATTTTTGAGCGAGATGCTAACGGTCTAATCAGATTCAATGATCTATGCTAAGCTAAGCTAAAAGTGCCACCGCCAGACCCGGAGATCGGCTGAATGGATTCAAAAATGGTAAAACTCAACTGTTTAACTCTAGGGGAGTTGGAAAATGAACCTATTTTCAAAAATAGTGGAGTGTTCCTTTAAAATCCCCACAGCTCACTTGAAATTATGGTTTGACATACTGCCTAGCCATAGACTTGACAATAGACATGCGTGCGTCTACGACTGTCTATCTGTCTGAGTGTGTGTGAGTGTGAAAGGCTGGGTGTGTGCACACGTGTGTATGCGGTGTTGTGTTTTTATTTAACATCACAGTGTGAAAGCTAGGAATTCTACAGTTAAACCAACATGAAATATAACAACCTCTTGTAAGGCTGAATTCAGCTTTTCTGTTGAAACCTGTTTTACCTCCGCAAGTGTTTTTTGGAAAAAAGGATAATTTTTATTATGGAAAATCAACTTTTTACAGCTCTGCAACAAACAAAGAGACCAAGAAAAATGTCGTCTTTGTAGATTTTCTATATGCATTTTATAAGTGGACTATGCTGATGCACCTGTGATCTGATGATGCAAACAAATGAAAATACATCTTTGACTGCAGGTTACCAGAGTTAGTGTAGACCATTTTGTTAAACCTCTCACTGCCACTAAATCAACCATGTTTCACATCTTAATTCTACTCATCTTCTGAAAAGTTTTTTGGGCTCAGTGTGATGCAGTCAACTAAGGTTCTTACACTATTGTACTTCACCCCAAGCTCATGTATGCCCATTTAGATCATGCTTTCAACATTTCTTTCTAAATATAAAAAACCACCATGTCACAAGTTTTCTTTGAAGCAAATGTACTGTATGCAGCAGCAGGATTTTGGAAGAGAAAACAAAATAAATTATGTAATCTTTGACAGAGTTGGAAGTCTTTTTGACAGACAAATGTATTTGTAGTAAGACATGGCTTTCATTAAAAACAAATTATGAGGAAAGTGTGTGATGACTAGAACTGCACTACAAATCTCAGCCTGGTTATTTGATTACATATCATTAAAATGTGTTTGATACAGTCAGTTTAAACATGGATACATTTATTGTTCGTTTGCTATTATATTTCATTTTAAGTAACTATCATTAAGGCCATGCACGTTTTGAAACTCTTATTTTGAAAAGCTTCCAACACGTCTCCTTTTTATGGGTACTCTCGCGAGATTTTAGACCCAACAGACTCGTAACAAGTTTGGCTAAAATGTTCAGCCATACAAGTCAACATACAGAGGTAAATTACAACATTTCTACATGCTTAACAATAAGGGCAGATCTATCAACTCGCATTGTGTAACTAATAAGCAAGGTTACCAAAATACAGAGCTTATAACGCTACAGGTGAGTGACAGTTTGGTGCAGCGTCAATACGCGACCAGCTGCAGACCTGCTAATCGGCCCGTGGCTGGAGGAGTCCGTCAATGGATCAACTGTCATTTCAGAGTGTTTGTGTTGTAAAGTATTGATTGTCCCTCAGCCGTATTATATTTTGGGCCTGCCACATAATGTCATTAATTTCGCTTTAATTTACATTGTAAGATTTTAACATCGAAATTCCATTTTTTAGAATGCAGATTCAGATAGATTTGGTGTAGGCAAATGTAATTTTGTCATACTTTATCTTTTTTAAAATCATATAATGAGGCAAGAAGTAAGATTTTCATGTACAAAGCACTTGTCTGAAATGCCTATAATCAGGAGACACATTAAGGTGTTTTACAGTGTTGATATTATTTCCTTTGTATTTCATAGCTACACAAAACTATTTTGCGAGGAGAGGAGCAGCCACCTCTCCAGAGATGTGAGGACTGCTGTTCCTTGTACCACTGTCCTTTCTGTGGGCCTGAAATGTTCAAACCCGCCATCAAAAGCAAATGTTTAAAGCATTTACAAGGTCACAGAAGAAGAGCGATACGGCACAAGGGCAAGTATTAAATAATGCGTGTAAGAAATTACAAGCATTTAAATGTATATATTTTACTTGAAAGTGTCCCAGGTAATGAAGTCACAGGAATAAATATTTATTCTGTTCCGTCGATTATTAAAATGTACTGAAGCATAGAATTTTGTAAAAGCATAAGTAAATCTTAGTAGTAAATGGATATCTAACAGAGGACTTTTTTCCTTTTTACTCATTTTTTGTTTCACTAGAGTTCTTCATTTTTAAATGTCATTTAAAGTGCCGAACTGCTCCACACTTTCACTGCGTTAGCTGCGCATCCACTTTTATGAGGAAAGATGGTTTTCTAAAACACCTGGCTATGTGCGAGAGCAAAAAACCCAAATTAACAGTTGTGGAGCTGAAATCAGACGAGAGTTTACCTGCACCAGATCTTCATCTGACTGCATCTGAAGCTGGCAGTACTGAGGAGATGCCTGTCGGCGAAGGACACAAGAATCTGTTCTCTGAAGATGCTCAGAAAATCAGGAGAAGAAAAGCAAACTTTGAGCAACACTTGTGCCCTAAAAGGGTAAGTTTCTTTTTTTATGTATCTATATACACTACTATTCAAAAGTTTGTGGTTAGTAAAAGTTTTTTAGCATAGCTGACATATAAAGATGTTTATAATGTTACAAAATGTTTTGAATTTCATAAAAATGCTGTTCTTTTGAAATTTATATTATTTGAATAACCCTGAAATATGTATGGCAGCTTCCACAAAAATATTAAGCAGCATAATTGTTTTTAACATTGATAATGATAATTAATGTTTCTTGAGTACCAAATTAGCATATTAGGATGATTTCTGAAGGATCATGTGACACTGAAGACTGGAAGAATCTTTGGGGCCTTGTTGTGTGAAGATTTGTGACAAGCTGTGGGAATTTATATAAACATACAAATGTCTATTCACCCTGTGCTGTTGCAGGCTGTTAGTGAGGAGACAGTGAGCCAGGGGCTCAGTGATTCAGAGATGGCAGACCAAAACTCCAGAGGTGAGTCTCATCAAACAGAAAATATTCTGCATAATGCAGTTTGCTTGACTTGACCTTTCATTTCCAGTGTGACAAATGACCTAAGTACTATCAGGCACAGATTTAAAAAATTTTATTCAGTCATTATTTGATCATAGTGACAAAAAATGATTAGATATTTAGTCAAAATTAGTTTAGACTGTCATTCCATCCAGTCACAGGATTTCAATCATGTTAGATAATTTGAGTCGATTTTAGAGTGTAGTGTTTTCAATTGTCACGCATGTTTCATTTGTTGCATTCAGAGCGGCTTGAAAGTCTGGTCATTTGTGATCCTCAGTTGTTTATTGTATGATGTCCAGTTATTCTATGTAAACCTATACAAAGCCTATTGTTTTATAATCTGTTCAGAATTCTAAAAGTCGTGCAGTGTGTTCCAGCCAAAAGTCTGATTCTCTGTCAGTCTGGCTTACAACAAGACTATGAAATGCAGTGAGTCTTGTGCTATATCCATGTCCTCTGATCAGAGTGTTTGATAGTCTTACTCTCTTTAATCTCAGGTGAAGGAGGGATTATGGAGGAGCAGGTGAGAACAGATGACCCAACTATATCCCCAGTGGATGAAGGAGATGCTTCAGTGGTAGATCTCTCTGTAGTGGATCATAATGTCACAGAGACCACTGTCTCAAATTCTGCTGCCAATCCTCATCCTATAGAGGCTGATGTCGCCATACAGACTTTAGTAAATGAGATGTTCTCTGGACACACATCTGTTGAAAGCACCGTCCCACAAAGATCCAGATCCGATGCACAAGATCTGTGTCCGTTCTGTGGTTTAATGCTACATAGGAAGAATCTGCAGGTGCATTTAAGAAGGAAGCACCCAGATCAAGTGTCAAACCAGGAGAAACCTGCCTCTGCTCAGGTGAAAAACCCAAAACAACAGAGACTTGCTTTGCGACAACAACAGAAGGTGAGAGAAGTTCATCTTTTGGGAGGTTTCGCAGATTTTTTACTCTTTAGGGCAGGGTTTATGAGGGAACTGCATTGAGTTTGTGAGTCAAATTAAAATAAATACATATAAATTAAAAACAAAATAAAAAACATTTTCTTAAAAAAAGAGTAAGTAATTTATTTGTTTACCTACATGTCATGTGACCAGTTACTGACATCAGAGGACTGTGAATTTGCAAATGTGTTGTTAAATTATCAAAATATTAACTTAAAATGTCAGCGGTAAGTATTTTATGTCAAAGGGGTTTGGTTGACAGAAAAGTTTAGGAATCTCTGCTTTAAAATACAGCCTTAAACAGACAGTTCACCCAAAATGAAAATTCTGTCATCATTTATTTACTCTCATGTTATTCCAAACTGCATATTTTGGAGAAAAGACTACAGGTACATCTCAACAACCCCACTACTTTGTACATGATACTATGGATTATATTATTATGCGTAAACACATGAGTTCTTCAATACTGGCGCAGGTAATTAAAGATCATAGAGTCGAAAGTGTGATGAATAAACTAAAACCCCCCCTCAGAGGCCGCAGAATGGATGCGTCCGTACCGAAAGTGCTTCGTCTGCGGTTGAAACATCGGCTGTCACCGACACTCCAGCGATTATATCCGATCTCACTCTTCTGTCACGACGGTCCACTTCAATTCACTGGACCGGTGTGGATTATTGTTGGTGACATGCGTTGCGGTGGCGTCTGTGTTGTTGTTGTTTTAGCCAGATTTCGTTTGCGCCCAGCTGACCCACATCTATTTTAAGGTGCAAACGTAAACGGTGCTACTTTTTAACGTCTGGTGACTCTTTTATTAACGTGTTGCTTTATTATTGACAGAATACATCTTTTTAATTATATCACTGGAAGCGTAATATCGTTATCAAAGCGTTATAAACACTAGTGAGATAAAAAAAAAGAATTATATCGCAAAATGTTGACTAAATGTGTAACTGTAAAAATAGTAAGTTTGAATTCTGCTGAGCACTATAGTACGTGAGATAGTATGTACTAAAGTAGTTTATATGATTCATATATGAGTTCATATGAATCAGTGGACTCTAAAGTGTCAAAAATGGGCTGTTTTACAGTGTGAGCCCACCAGAAAGGCAGGTTCATGTTCGTTTTCTGTTTATGTTGTCTCTCTCAGATTGCAATGGAGAGTGAAATCAGAGATGTGTTCAGACACTGTATCAGGTTTCCAGTGCCCATTTTTGCCTCTGTGGTCGCTGATGAGCTGGTGGACACTGCCAATGAGAAGCATTGTATCACCATATTGGCCCGTAAGTATATTGGAGAGTTCTGTCATGTGGTTTTATGGTATATTCTCTATTTAATTAGTTATATGACTTCATGATGCTTGCTTTTCAACTCTCTCTCTAGGTTGGAGTCAGTGTGATTTGGAGAGAGGGGGGAAACTGCGTTTCTCTCAGAGATGGACTCTACTGTGTAAACACGACACAATCGAGCATGTGCTGCCGTCTGGAACAAGCTCACACATACAGACGGAGTAGGAGATATATACACAATATTCAGATATTCATGTATCTCAAGAGATAAAAAGAAAGACTACAGGTAAACAACATACCTGTCATCAAAATGCATCTCTCACTTTCAGGTTGCTCAGCTGCCATTCTCCTTCTGGGACTCTTCAAGCTGTCATCCGGGAGGATGCCGGACATCAGTACGTGGAGGTAATGGCTATCTTTGATATTAAAATATTGAATTATTAAAGTATGATTCTTAATCCTCTTTTTACATTTGTAAAAGAAGAACTTTTTAATATTAAAAACAAACAAGCAAGCCCTGCCCAGATTTAAAAAGTAACTCAAAAGTAACGTAACGCATTACTTTCCATAAAAAGTAACTAAGTACCGTAATATTGTAATGCATTACTTTTAAAAGTAACTTTCCCCAACACTGGTCATAACTGCTCTGACTCCGTAAGAATGAAAGATATTCTAAGGCCATTTGGTCACTTTACTGTCGGTGTCATTACTATGTTTCTTGCCAATTGTGACAGTCATTAATTCTGTGTGTGTGTGTGTGTTTGGTAGATGATTTCGGGAGTGTGCAGCTGTTGACCATACAAAAAGACCTGATGGTGATGAGCTGCTCATCTCCAAATCAACCTCCCTGCCTGGTACAACCATACACACATGCGCACACTTTTCTATAATAGTCATCTTTCACTGAAGAAACTGCGTTACATGTAGGGTTGGGTAACGTTTGAATTTTATCGATTCCGATTCTGCTTATCGATTCTGATTCTAATCGATTCCTAGTTTCGATTCCAATAAGATAAAAAATCCAATATAAAAAAATTGTCAAACATTTAGATGTCAAACATTTATTCTGTCTTTTTACAAAGCATTCTGTTGCAGCTGAATAACACGAGCAAAAATCAGCAGCCTACAGAACACTGCAAGAGGAATTTTGCTTTAAAAAAAAATACTACAGCAAAAATAACTAGATTAATATAAATTTCAAATATTAAAGTGTTAAAGACAAGTAAACAGTCAGTAATAAGATAGGAACAAATAAATCAATTAGCAGTATCATAAATACAACTGAAGAAAATTTCAGGTACAGAAACTGTAATTAAAAGTTTAAAAACACTGCATAGTTTTCTTTTCATAAATAAAATATAGATTAATCAATTAAAGTTATTAAATATATTCAGTCAAGATCAGTGAATGATTTTCTTTTGTACTTTGATTAACATTAATGACAGACAGTTCTTGGAAATTTGGAACCGGTTCTAAAATGGAACCGGTTTTCGATACCCAACCCTAGTTACATGTAACACTGCATGTTTTCTGTAGAAACTTGGCTTCCTCTCATCAGTGGATCAGGCTGAGGACATGCAACTTTGTAATGTGGGCGGAGCAGATGTGTATGAGGGATTTGATTGGCAGCCCATGTTAATCACACCCCCTTCTCAAGAGGAGAACCATCAGTTCTGTGAGTAAGATGAATGTATCATCAGATTTACAGCTGCTACCAGCAATATTTCTTTGTGATTTTACTCTTTCCTCCTCTCTATATAGCTGGACTGAATTTTGGAGCAATTTTGTTGAAGCCGTACAATCTTCCAGAGAGAAGGAAAAGTCCTCTAGTGGTGAATATACATGGTAAGGCTGACAATTTTTTGTTCATGATGTCATTATTTCTCAGACATAAGTGAACAGTGAAGTATTTGTCTGTGCAGGTGGTCCTCATGCTCATTTTGCTGCTGACTGGAACGCCACAGCCGCTGCTTTAACCAAACTGGGATTTGCTGTTCTGATGGGTAGGGTGTATATGTAGCATTCTAGTTCCTGTCACAACAAAAAATAGAGAATGAGCACTGATTTAATGTATGACTTTGTGTGTCACAGTGAACTACAGGGGCTCCACTGGTTTCGGTCAAGATGGCATAGAATCTCTGCTTGGAAACGTTGGCAGTCAGGACGTCAAAGATGTTCATGTGTGTATATGCACAAATAATGTGTGCATATTGAGGAAAAATTTGCTAATTTGTCATTTTTTGTGTCCAGAGGGCAGTGTTGTGCACTTTGCAGAATGAGATGACCCTTGATCCTGATAGGGTGGCAGTGATGGGTGGCTCTCATGGTGGTTTTCTGGCCTGCCACCTGGTTGGTCAGTATCCAGATTTCTACAGAGCTTGTGCAGCAAGAAACCCTGTGATCAATGCAGCCACACTGCTTGGAACCAGTGATATTGTAGACTGGTAACACACTCACATTTACATTCGTTAATAACCCTTCTATTAAAGATGAAAAAGTGTTGGCAGTGGCCAAAGGTGACTATAATGGTGGTATGTGCTTATGCTATCCCTACAGGAGATATTCCTCTGTGGGGATTCAGTATGCTTTTGACCGGCTGCCCACATCACAGTCCCTCATTTCAATGCTGGAAAAGTCACCCATAATACATGCTGCACAGGTATACACACACACACACACACACACACACATTTACTAACTTAATCTAAATGTGTACATTGCATAGACTTATATGTTTATATATAGCTAGTTATAAATACTGAACCCTAACATTAACGGAAAACCTTGTACTTTTTTACATTTAAAGCAGCACTATATAACTTTTTCTGTGTTCAAAATTTGCAAACTGTATATAATGAGCGAGTACATTATGAATTCATCTTCCAAACCGCGTTTATTGTCTACTTTGGACTATTGTAGCCTGGTCGGGTCGTCACCGCTGCGGAGTAACACATACCTGCGTGAATCGCCATAGACATAAACTTAGAGAAGTAGCTCCGGTTGGAATGTTCTTCCGTGGGATGTGTGCAGTTCTGTTTGTTAACCGCTAGAGCGCCAAAAGTTACATAGTGCTGCTTTAAAAGAACCTTTTTTTTTTTTACCCTTTCTTACAAATAAAGACGTCCCCAAAAGGTGTTTTTGGGAGGCTTTGTTAGGTTTAACTCACTTCTGGGTATAAATTTATCCCCGTAATATTGTCAGATAGGTGCACACTCACTCATACTCACACACAAAGACAGAATAGTGATTAACATGTAGTATTTTTGGGGTAGCAAAAGCTTAATACCTAAATAGAAGATTTTAAAGGGATCATATGATGCGATTTCAATTTTTCCTTTCTCGTTGGAGTGTTACAAGCTCTTAGTGCTTAAAGAAGATCTTTAAAGTTGCAAAGACTAAAGTTTCAAATCCAAAGAGATATTCTTTATAAAAGTTGAGTCAACCACGCCAACCTAAAACGGCTCGTTCTAACACGCCCCCACATGTCTACATCACGATGTGGGAAGGTTTGCATAACGCCGCCCAAATGTTCACACAAAGAAAGAAGGCGTAACTTTTATTCTCGCTGTAGTATTGCTGTTGCCTCCGCCGCAATGTCGTGAAGGCGCTGTGTGTTTTGTTGTCAAAGCAAAACTACTTTGTTTGGCCTTCCAAAAGAGGATGATATCCGCTTCATCATGCCTAGAGCTGATCCGTGCTGGTCGCTGAGGAAATACTTCAACTTCGCGCTGTCAATTGCCGGATCGGCTTTCCCCGGGGACGAAGCGGAGTCCAGCCCGGGGTCATCACATATGGTTGCCGCAAGCCCCCCGGCAGCTCCGTCATCGAATCCGCCGGCCGCGCCGTTCTCAAGCCCGCCGGCCTCCGCTCACTCTAGCCCGCGGGCCTCCGCTCACTCTAGCCTGCCGTGTGTTTAGTTGTGAAAGTGAAACTGCTTTGTTTGGCCTTCCAAAAGAGGACGACTAGAAATCCGTGGTTAAGTTGCATTTACAACACTGTTTCAGAACAGTTCAATCCAAATATTCAGATGTGTCCAGCGCATTTTATGGAGGACTGTTTCCTGATCCTGGTAGAATAGACTACAATGCCGGCTGTTCTGACTCACAAAGTGTAAGTAAGTTTTTTATATATTTAAAGAATTTGCCACTGATGATTCAAACGCGAGTTTTGAGCAGTGTAGAGTAGTGCTTGTTGTTTGTCATTTCTCCGATCACAAATGCAGACATGGTTTTGTGTTTACACGGTGCGATGCAACGCGTAAAAAGACAGTACAAGTCATTATAATGTATATTATGTTCCCACCGGATGCAACAAATGCCTCGTTTATAATGGGTTTTAAAATTTTTGTCTCGTTGCTCCGGCCGGGACAAGGCATCACAGTATAGTAGGGGCGTAACATTTCCGTCACACGCTTGAGGTAGGGCTCCGATTTAAATTTTTCCTTTCTCTTTGAAGTGTTACAAGGTCTTGGGGCATAAAGATGATCTGTAAAGTTGCAAAGACTAAAGTCTCAAATCCAAAGAGATATTCTTTATGAAAGTTAAGAGTCAACCACGCCTACCTAAAAATGCTCATTCTAACACGCTCAAACATGTCTACATCACGATGTGGGAAGATTTGCATAATGCCGCCCAAAGAAAGAAGGCGTAACTTTTATTCGCTCACTCTAGCCCGCCGCCGCTCCCTCAGGCCTGCCGGCCTCCGCTCACTCTAGCCCGCCATGTGAAACTGCTTTGTTTGGCCTTCCAAAAGAGGACAAGACTAGAAATCCGTGGTTAAGTTGCATTTACAACACTGTTTCAGAACAGTTCAATCCAAATATTCAGATGTGTCCAGCGCATTTTATGGAGGACTGTTTCCTGATCCTGGTAGAATAGACTACAATGCCGGCTGTTCTGACTCACAAAGTGTAAGTAAGTTTTTTATATATTTAAAGAATTTGCCACTGATGATTCAAACGCGAGTTTTGAGCAGTGTAGAGTAGTGCTTGTTGTTTGTCATTTCTCCGATCACAAATGCAGACATGGTTTTGTGTTTACACGGTGCGATGCAACGCGTAAAAAGACAGTACAAGTCATTATAATGTATATTATGTTCCCACCGGATGCAACAAATGCCTCGTACTATTAAAAAAAGCCTTATTAAAACTGCCAAGAACGCCCACAACAGATGTCTTTACCTACAAACTTATGAAAAATGTATTTGCCAACCTCTTCATATAAAACTAATTAATTTTCTAGAAAAAAAACCGCACAAATAAATTAATGTTCACCTTTTATTTGTATTTAGACTTCATACAAACAAGAAATGTGAAATCACTCTCAAATAAACATCTCAGATTCACCTTATTAATTATTAATATTTTTAACTTCAAACTATAGGCTAACATACACTACCAGTCAAAAGTTTTTGAACAGTAAGATTTTTAATGTTTTTTAAAGAATTCTCTTCTGCTCACCAAGCCTGCATTTATTTGATCCTAAATATATTTTTTACTATTTAAAATAACTTTCTAATAGGAAATATTTAAAAATGTAATTTATTCCTGTGATTTCAAAGCTAATTTTTTTAGCATCAATACTCCAGTCACACGATCCTTCAGAAATCATTCTGATTTGCTGCTCAAAAAACATTTATTGTTGAAAACAGCGGAGTAGAATTTAAGGTTTCTTTGATGAATAGAAACTTCAGAAGAACAGCATTTATCTGAAATAGAAATATTTTGTAACATTATAAATGTCTTTATCATCCCTTTTGATCAATTTAAAGCATCCTTGCTAAATAAAAGTATTAATTCCTATATGTGCTTCAGCCAGGATAAAGAGTACGAAAAGTGCTCTGAGTTGCTGCAGAAAACCCCCCAAAAATTGAGCAACCACCAAAACGTGGCTGGAAACGTGCTTATTTTTGAAAATGCAAACTTATTGTCTGCCAGCAGGAGGCGCTTTTTTTTTTTTAGAGTGATAGAACTAGCGGTTTCCCCAGTAATGGCTGTAATCAAAGCAGCTCTGCGCATGAATGCTACTTTATCAGATAAAATAAAAATGCCATCGAAACTTTTCTGAAGATATTAGGTTCCCTTCAGAGATACATTCATATAAAACACCCGCGCTTCGTTTTGATTTTGAAACGTGCAGTGCTCATATGGGAAACACTGGCAATGTAAATCGAAATATCAGAAATGTGTTTAAAAATCATATCACCGTTATTGAAAAAAATTATATCGCGATACATATTGATATTGAATTATTGTCCAGCCCTAGCTTGAGGTATTCGGCCAATCACAAGGCACTGGACAGCTGGCCAATCAGAGCACACCTCGCTTTTCAGACCGATGAGCTTTGTAAAAAGTGTTTCAGAAAGGCGGGGCATAATGTGTTTAAAATAATGTGTTTTTTGAACCTTAAACCACATAAACACATTTCATTACACCAAATACACCAAATAATGTTCTTTTTAGCAACATCATATGACCTCTTTAATATGGTTTGTGTAAATGTGTGTTTAGATCCGTGCTCCTGTGTTGTTGATGTTGGGTGGGAGAGACAGGAGAGTATCACCTCACCAGGGTCTGGAGCTCTACAGAGCACTCAAGAGCAGGAGCACACCTGTCAGGTACACAAACAAACAAACACACTGCATTTAATAAACACACATTATACTGATATTATTAATAGTGATAGACTAGGCTGATTAAATTTGGCCATTTTGAGATGTTGGTATTGGCCATTAATGGCATCTACAACAACTTTGTCAATGGATAATTAACTTTTCTTTTTGCAGAGTATGATACAGTTTGGGATCAGAAAGATTTTTAAACAATTTTTTTTTTTTTTTTAGACGTCGACTGTGCTCACCAGGCTGCATTTATTTGATCAAAATACAGTTCATTTTAAAAATGTTTTTACAAATTAAAATAACTGTTCTATTTCAATATATTGTAAAATATTTTAGAATTTTTAGGACTTTTTGATGAATAGACAGTTTAAAAGAACAGCATTTATTTGAAATAGAAATCTTTTGTAACATTATAAATGTAATTTTTTTATCAGTTTAATGCATTCTTGATGAATAAAGGTATTAGGCCTACTTAAAAAAAACAAAAAACAAACAAAAAAAGGAAATCTTACTAACCCCAAACCTATGAAACTGTATGTTGTTTTAGTACATTTTCAGTTAAATAAATATTGGTTTCATTTGGCAATGTTTGCCCTTGGCTTTTGAACTGCAGTCAACCACTAATCACTATTTTGAAATGTTCAGCCTTCTCTTTCTTTTTTCCTGTCTTTATCACACACATTCTCTCTTTCTCTCTCTTTGTCTGTCCCTCAGGTTATTGTGGTACAGTGATGAGGGTCATTCGCTGTCTAAAGTCAACACTCAGTCTGACTGCTTCCTCAACATCGTTCTGTGGTTTAAAGAACATTTAAACTGACGCAACATTTCTCAGAGACGCATATGAAAATATTCATCAAATGCTTTTTTTTTTTTGTCTGCACATATTGTGTTTGACATTCTTGCCAAAACTGTAGATGTCCATGAATGTTGCACTGAGGCTGAAGTTAAAGGTTATACAGGTCATTCTCCACTAGGGGACAGACCTGTCCATGTTAAATTAGCACTGCTAAAATAAATGGTCAAATGCCAAAGGATGAAGTCATCATGTTTAGAAATCAGAGCTCATGTACTGTGATACTGAACTTCTCTTTTTAGAGTTAATATCTGAACAATCAACGTCTTTTGTGAGACGTTTACTCTTCGCTATGTTTTTAATGGACAGTAATGATCTTGCCAATATTTTTAGATCAAATCTGTTTGACTTTAAATACAAATACATGCTGATCGTTTGTAGATTTAAAGTAGTTTGATTATGAAAAAAGTACATTTAGGATAGAAAGCAGAAGAGAAGAACAAAAAGCATTTTTCTAGTTTCTGAAATGTATCTATAGAGATCTTCAACATTCCATATTTATAAACATGATACGAGACAGAAATGTGTGATATTTATTTTGGCCAATGCTTATACACATAGATCCAGCTGTACCAGCTCACATGTCTAAGACTCTCGTGTCCATTTCACTTAAAGCCCCTTAAGAAAGGTATTTCCCTCAAAGATTTCTTAGTTTCGTAGTTTTGCAACATTTTTGTCTTTTGAAAACTTAATCTCCAAATCCTCTTAGACAGATTCATTCAGCTCTTGTGTTTCTATCATGAACTTTGTTTATAATATTGTTATTAGGTATTCTGGTTTGTCATTTGTGGCACGTTGAGCTCCAGCCAGTTTTATGTTAGTGTTTTATGGCCAATTGTAGCATGTGGATTTTCAATATTCTGGAGGTCTCAGGGGGCAGATTGCTTTATACCCTGTTAAGATTGCATTGCTAATGACCCACAGAGAAAGAAGTAGAACACAACAGGTCACCTGAGACCATTGCCACTGCCACTGTGTAAGAGAGAGAAAGAAAGAAAGGTCTGTATTATTCCCCCTTTGATCGGGTTTGGTGTAGGTGTCTGGGTCTTAGGCAGGTCAAATATCATTAAAAGTCTTTACTCTCTGTCTCAGTCTGCCTAGACGCTGAACGGCATGCTCATAAAGGAAGATTAAAGAGCAAGGCAGAATTTGAGAATAAACACAAACACCCAAAAATCATTGCCAGGGGGTGAAAAGCAGATGAGAAACAGATTAGAGGAAGTAGGGAGAAAAATCTGAGTAGGTTTAAGGTCACACTGGGGTAAAATGAGCCACAGCTTAGTTGGTGCTATCATGAGCTGTGATGTGACAACTAAATGAAAACACGAAAGTTATCTGATGGCTCAAGCCCCCCCCCCTCCCTCCCCCCCAGAATGCTGGGAGTTGGGTAAAATCCAGTAGGCCTGGGGCACATTGAATCAACGGCCATAAATATGACACAGCTTGAAGCAGTGAATCTATTTGAGTTGGCAAAGTAATACAGCATAAATTAAATCCTTCAGACATCTTTGTTATACTTTGGGTCATGTTGCTTCTGTTGCTTTTGGACATTACAAGTCTTATATAAGTTGTTTTCTTTGATCTTAAAGTAGATCTTCAAACTGATAAACAGCTCTGCTCTGTTGTTTTCACCTATTAATTAGAAAAAGGAAAGGACACAAACTGGCTCACCTTACCACAGGCCCAAAGTAAAGGTGTGCTAAACCAGGGTGTTGTTGTGAGTAGTGGTCAGTGCCCACCCAAAAGAAAATGAATCAAATGTTATTATTAGCATAGATTTTTACATGTCTTTTTATTGATTTATTGGCTGTTAGATCATTTATTGAACTATAATATGTGCTTGCCTCTGCATTGTTTCAATAGGATGTCTGTCATTGTCCATCATATATAAACTAGTTTCTAGGTCATTTCAATGCCACCAGTGCCAAAATACTTTTTTCTGACATCTGAAATATTAAACAATGAGCTATATAAAAGCAGTGTTATTGTAGTATTATTTATATATTATTATAGTGTTTGTTGCATTTTGAATTAGCTTTTATTTTGTTTTCAATTTTCATTTTAATTTGAGTAATTTTATGTTTGCAATTATTTTGTTTTTATTTTAAATATATCTGTATTTAATAAATACAAATTATTTTCTATTTTAGTTTTAGTAATTTCAGTCTTTTAAGTTTATACTTATTTGAGTTTCTGATATTTAGATTTTATTTTAATGAATGAAAGTCATTTTTAAATTGTTTTAGTTTTAGTCGTAGGTAACAATGACACTGTTTAAAAGTTGTTAACACAAGTTTCAACTGAATACAGAATAAATATTGAAAAGGAAAACCTATGTGGTTTATAAATACAGCATTTAATATGTATATTATATTTCAGTTACTGGAAACGATTTGTAATAGTTTTGGATTATCAGTACAATATATTTAAAAAAAAAAGACCTATCTTACCTTCAGTCTCACTAAATTCCAGGTCTCTATTGGCATAACAATGTGGAAAATTGAGCAGAAGGGTAAAAAGACTGTAAAAGAGTCCAATCCAGAGATAGAGAGATAGTTTAATAGATAGTGGTAAGGTGAATGAGGCGGGCCAGAACTGACCAGTCATACCCATTAATGAAAGAGTATATAAGTAGTGGGGCTGCTCGTGTGTGGTTATCAGTGTGTTTAGACAGAAGGCTCTGGATGGGATTAGAGTGAGTAGAGGACATTAAACGAGCATTTCCACTTGCTTGTGATTTAGTGTGTTGGATAGGAAATGCGATACTACTTAGTGTGAGGGATGTGAGTGATATGTTGTGTGAGTTTGTGTAAGCCTGAAAACATTACTACACTCTCATAGGGTGTGCAGAGTGTGTTTGTGTTCAGGGGGCCGGAGGCTAATAGACTTTTGGGGTAATTAGCATGCTGCTGAAAACCATTAATTAATCTCACCTTTCCTCCCCCATGCTTCCATTCGTGGGCCGGTCTGCAGCGCTCTGCTCAGTTGTCACTGTAATGGATGAGTCCATTAGCTGCCCCTGGCAGGGGAGGTGATCGGTCAGAGAGTAAACTGGGTAAAAAGGGCAAAACTGTCACCAGACAACTTAAGCTAATAGCGTCGCCACTTTACTTGATGAAATGTGTTTAACACGCTCTCTTGTGTTTTGCTTTTCTCCCTCCGTCCCTCAGATAAACACACATGGCCAACACCTATATTCCATTGACTCGCTCTGCCGTCCTCTGTCATTTTCTCATTCCATCGCTCCCTCCCTTCTACCGCTTTGCCGTGTAACTGTTGTTTCTTGGGAGTGATGGAGCTGGAGAATATTTGGTCACTTATAAAGAACTGACATTTCCTGTCAGTGTTTGAGTGTTATGACTGGGCATTAGGGTGAGACGGGGTGCTCAAACTGTGCGTGTTCTGCAAGCAACAAATCCAGCAATTCACAAATTTGACGTTCACCAGTGAGCAAAGAAAAAAAATCCAAAACCGTCTGATTTTGTATATGCTTACTTAGAATTGGACTATGTTCAGAATATAATAATAGTATACTGCATAGTAGAAAGTACACTGAATCCTGGCTATTATGAAAAATAGCATGTGAACAACATGGATTAGACAATAAAGATTTCAAATATTATGCTATGGTATAGTAGTATGTATTGTGTGTCCCATTTCAGATGCTGCCTCCTTTGGAGGCTGCATTCGAAGACCGAATGCATCACGGTGGAGCAATTAAGGCTGTCCCATTTCAAAGCCTTCTTGAAATGCAGCCTTGGAATGTGTACTTCACTTCCCAGGCGATGAAGGATACAACAAATATATCCTTTGTGGCCCAAACTATCCGAAGATTCATTGCGCAACAGTGACAACAGGATCTCTGAAAAAAACTAAATAAACAGACAAACAAAACAAAACATAGTAGACTGATGTGTCCGCAGTGAAGTTCAGCTAATGTCTTTTTTTATTAGGGCTATTTCAGTTCCTTTTGGGCTACCAGAATCTGAAGAATGCTTTGCCCAAAGGGCTACCAGAGATTTGCCAAAAAAGTAATGAAATATGCAATACAGAATATAAATTGGGTGAGGTAAATAGAAGAAATATAGACAATAATATGAGATGAAAAAATTGTGTACAATATGGATTTACATTTGTGACTGTACAAGCACATTGTGCACTGTTTTGTTTTATTTGCATATTTTAGGGAAATGTAGATGGACGTCTGGATATTCCATGAAATGAACTGTGCACAGTAATGTATTCTGCATGAACAGTACCAGTAGATCATAGCCATGATCTGTCATATGTTATTCTGTATGTGTAATCCAGGTTTATTCTAAGAGGCATGGAGTAAATTAATGTGTAATCACTTGGTTAGTAAGACTCAATCACATTTGCTCACATTCCAACTTAATTTGCTCTAAATTACCCACACACAGGTTCTTATCAGGTGTCTGAATGAAAGAGTCTTTGATGTTTAGTTCTGTAATTAATGCACTTTATGACCAGCCTCATCCCAGACTAAAACCCTGCCTTGATATACAAATAGAATTTTCTGTGTGTGTGTAATTATGATTGCATTAATAGCGGTTCTTTTGTTCTGTTTGTTTTAATTGAGTCAGTAGATCACTAATTTTTCTGCCCTTGGCTATATCGTGAGCCCCCGCAGGCTGAGCGGTTATTGTGGTGGGATGTTTTCCCCTTTCATTTCTCTTTCTCAGTCCAGAGGATGCTGCTTATCCAATACTAGATATTTTTGGCTATACATGACAGAGTTTCTCTTTATATTTACACAGCAGGAAGGTAGGATATGTCTCTCGGTGTCCGTTTCTAGTTATTAAATGAGTGCTTGAGGGAGATGGAGAAATTCAGCAACTCTATAGTTTAGGGTTCAAACCAAAGACTTTGGTTGCCTGCCCAGATTTTTAATCCTCACCTTGGCACCAACCCTGTCGTATGTGTATTTGTGTGTGTTGTTTTGGAGTTAAATATTTTGACTGCAGCGAAGACAGAACTGAGACACTGTTTAGCATTTAGCAAACTCCCTGAATCTAATAATCCATGATGCAGTTAAATTTGCATTCATTATGTTTTTCCTCCCTATTGTCCCCACATGACCATTAGAGAAAAAAGTAAGGGATGGTTACCACGGTATGATATGGCAACACCAATAGTTGATAAATACCATTGCAGTGAATGATTACCATATTCATGTCCCATCATATTTACAGACATCTTACCACCATTATCTAATCAAACAATGGTGGTACTATATTTAAAGACCGTTCAAGTTCAAGTCCTTTGTACAATTTTAAAAGTTTTCAGGCTGATAAACATTCCTAATGAGTGTAAACGTAATCTTCCTTTTGTCAGAGGCCTGACTATAATCACAGTAACAAACAGAGACGGACTGCTGTAATGTTTGCCACATGTTCCTGATCACAGATCTGCAGGAATTACATTATAATCCCAATTTAAAGGAGACATATTATGCCCCTTTTTACAATATATAATATAAGTCTCTGGTGTCCCCAGAATGTGTCTGTGAAGTTTCACCTCGAAATACTCCACAGATCATTTATTATATCATTTTGAAAATGCCTATTTTGAGTGGAAGCAGAAACACGCTGTTTTTTTGGGTCTGTCTCTTTAAATGCAAATAAGCTGCTGCTCCCCGCCCCCTTTTCCAGAATAGAGCTGTGCCATTACAGCTCGGACCTGCTTAAAACATCTGTTTTGGTTCCGATTATCATGTTCATCGCGCTGAAATCATACGAGTTTAAACTTCTGATATACGGTTTTCTGAGTGCACACATCCGAAGCACACGTACAGAAAGCGGCTGTCACAGGATGCGAGTACTAAAGTTATCATTCACACACAAGTTTACGTTAAAAACACACACGAGTTACAAAACAGTTGGTTATGTCTGTGAAGGTAAACTGCTGGGAAATAAATCGCATGTTTATTTTAGATCTGCAGCCAAAGATAGAACAGTTAGCGTGTTTTGCTCAAACTTTCACCATGGCATTAGAACTGGTACACCGTTGTCACTTGTGAAAACACAATGACAGCGCTGTGGGTGTACTACATTTACAGATTAACGGGGTCATATGACGTTGCTAAAAAGAACATTATGTTGTGTATTTGGTGAAATGCAATGGGTTTATGCGGTTTAAGGTTAAAAAAACACATTATTTTCCACATAATGTACATCATTGTTGCTCCTCTATGCCCCGCCTTTCTGAAACATGTAGATTTTTACAAAGCTCATCGGTCTGAAAAGCAAGGTGTATGCTGATTGGCCAGCTATCCAGTGCGTTGTGATTGGCTGAATACCTCAAGCGTGACCTCAAGTGTGTGATGGAAATGTTACACCTCTACCATACTGTGATGCCCTGTGTCCCAGTGCGACAAGACAAAAACAATAAAACCCATTACAAACGAGGCATTTGTTGCATCCCACATACTGTACATTATTGGTGCTCCTCTATGCCCCGCCTTTCTGAAACATGTAGATTTTTACAAAGCTCATCGGTCTGAAAAGCAAGGTGTATGCTGATTGGCCAGCTATCCAGTGCGTTGTGATTGGCTGAATACCTCAAGCGTGACCTCAAGTGTGTGATGGAAATGTTACACCTCTACCATACTGTGATGCCCTGTGTCCCAGTGCGACAAGACAAAAACAATAAAACCCATTACAAACGAGGCATTTGTTGCATCCAGTGGGGACATAATTACTGATTATAATGGCTTATACTGTCTTTTTACGCATTGCATTGCGTATCGCGCTGGGTAAACATAAAACCATGTCTGCATTTGTGATCGGAGAAACAACAAACAACAAGCGCTACTCTACACTGCTCAAAACTCGCGTTTGAATTGTCAGTGGCAAATTCTTTAAATATAAAAAATTTCCTTATAGGCTGTGAGTCAGAAGC